CCAGCAGTCTCACGTCTTTGTTGAAACATTCAGTTCAACTGACCCAGCACCTCTTTTTCAGTCAAGGTCTAACTTGCAGTAATCGTAAAGTGCTAATGCTCACCGCGAAGAGCCTGAAGACCAGCTCCACGGAGCAACCTTCTCAAGTGTGTGTCAACCCCTGTTCCAAAGGGTACCGCGTTTCTTGATGTTTCCATCGTGCAAGCAGGGGGACTGTCTACCCCACAGAAGTGACGGTCCAACGAAGAGGCTTCTGTGGCGGTACTGATATCACTGGAGACGTCCATTGACGTACCTGCTGAACAACTGTTGACCACGCTGTCCAATTTGATCGGTTTGTTTCATGGTCCTTCCACGTTTCTTCCCCAAACCCCACTTTCCTGCAGCTGAGCTTGTCACCGCACTGATTGTACAGATCGATTTCGAGGCCACTTGCGAACAATGTTCAACCATACTGTTGTCGCCGACTCACTCACCTTGCGTTTCCCTCACCTTCCTTCTCACCGTGGGAATTGAGTTAACAGCAAACCAATGTCAGAGTGTACTAATGTGCACGCAAGTCAGACCAAGCACACAGAGGCGAGGCACGCGGAGCAGAAGGGCACACCTGACAGTGACGGGGGGTGTGTCTGTGCGTGTGTAAGACAACCATGCCACGCGGGGCTGGGGGGGCCAACCGTCAGGACGATGTAGACGAGGAGGGGAGGGGAGCCACCCGGAGAAACGTGGGCGGGCACGCGGTTCCTCGAAGATCTCCCTTGGAGATAGGTCTCTCCGCCGGTTGTGCAGATCCACTGATAAGACAAGATTTGCCGGCGGAGCAGTCAAGCCCTTTCGGACGCGTCAGATTGTGACTGATGTCCAGGGCCACAACGTTGCTGGAGTATGGGTTGCCGTCGCCAGATTGAACCGATCTTTGCATCCATGTCTCTGGCAACGCCATCGGCGCTCATAAGCTGGTCTGACGGCTGAGGTCAACGGTAAGCCCGCGATAGCCTTGTTTTGCATGGCCGCAAGGCACGGCACGCAGCTGTTTGGGCCTGCGTCCAACGTAGCACGCCATAAGGCGCGGATGTCGTACTGGACCTCACTGTTCCGCTGCAGCGTACATCCAAGTAGAGGGCCCGGCGAACGCAAAGCACTTCATCCCTCTCGCTGCTCTTGTCTGCGTCCAGGAGTATGACCATGAAGCGCTGGCCATGGCCACTGGCCGACAACTCTGATTCTGGCGCTTCTGCTCCGGAGAGATCGCTGGTTTCCCGCCACTCCTGGTGACTGCGCGAAGCCTCTGGCCAGAGTGGCACTGCATACGCGACTGTAGTCCGTCTCCTTGAAGTCAACCTCGCGATGATGATCGACGTTTAGGTGTTTAGGCTGTTAGGGTTTAGGTATTCGCTGTCGCCAGGATCTCAACAATCTCCACGAACTTAATGACCGCCAGGAACTCGATGATCGACAATCAGAAACGCCAAAGGCACACACACGGCGCGCTTAATTAAATTAACAATATAAATAACTTATAAGTATACGTCGAGTGATCCCGGTGATCCCCACATGCCACATTCTGTGTTGCGTAAGCTGCATTTTGAGCACACTTGTTGCGTAAGGTTTGCGTAAGTACTGTTCTTTACAAGAACATGAAGAGCAAGATGTTGCTGCGTAAGGAAATCCTTTCGGGGTACCTTTCGGAATCATAATTGTCATGGCGTAAGCTTTGCGGTATGACTTTTGTAAACCAATGCCTCGCGTAAGCTAAAACTGTGGTTGCGTAAGCAACGCGCAAGCGCCAGCGTAAGAACCTGATACGACATAGAGGTTTAGTCATACGTATTGGCCGAGGCTCATTTGTCTTCATGCCATTTTGAGGAGCATGTTGCCATGGTCGTGAGTTTTGTGGTTATGGACTTTGTTTGTGGATCCTCGGGTTGTGTCACGGTTGTGTGGTGTGACGTGATTTTAGTTGTGTGCTATAAATGTGTCTTTGTGGTTGTGTTGTATGTTGCGATTGTATGTTAGTGGTTGGGTTTGTGATTGTGTGTTTGGGTTTGTGGTTGTGCTTCTGCTTGTGACTTGTTGTGACGGTGTGTTTGTGGTTGTGTGTTGTTTTTTGTTGTTGGACGTAAAATCTAGCAGCCCCCACCTTCAGGTGGTGAATAAGCTGGCCATATCCGGGGAATGTTTTTTGTTGCAGGTGAACGGTGAAGCCAAACACAACAACCAAACAAAACAAGCAGCCAAGTCCAAACAAAACAAACAAACCAAACCAAGCTAGAACGAAACAAAACCAACAAAAATACAAAACAATCACCCCAAACCAAACCAAGCCAAACAATCAAACCCAGAAAGAAACAACCAACCGACGAACAATCAAACCAAAAAAACAACAAAACAACACAAACAGTCTACCCAAATCAAACCAAACGAAACGAGACAATCAAACACACACACACACACCAAAACAAAACAATCGAACCACACCAAACGAAACAAACAAACATAACAAACCAAGCAACCCAACCCAAACCAAGCCAAACAAGCAAACAAATTAACCAATCAAACAAAAATAAAAAACACCAAAACAAAACAACAAACAATACAATCAAACAACCAAACCAAACCAATCCAAACACAACAAAACAAAACAATCAGACAAACAAAAACAAATCAAAACAATACAATCAAACAAACAAACCAAACCAATCCAAACACAACGAAACAAAACAATCAGACAAACAAAAACAAAACAAAACAACCAATCCAAACAACCAATCAAACATAGCCAAACCAAACGAAACAATACAATCAAGCAAGCAAACCAAAACAAAACAAACAAACCAGAACAATCCAAACAAAACAAAACAAACCAAGCCAAACAAATAAAGAAACAACCAACTAAACAAACAAACAAACAAAAAAACAAACAAACAACAAAACACAACAGAAAATATTCCCCAAAAATGTGCCAGTCACTAACATTAAAAAAATCGTGGCTTCTTCTCTGGAGTGGATCTTTCATTCCACTCATTTCTGCGATCATGCTTCAAAAAGATCCAGATCGAGGTTCAAAAAACACATCCACGGCTTCTTGTTTGCAGTGGATCTTTCATTCCACTCATTTCTGTGATCATGTCTCAAAAATAACTCCAGAGCTTCAAAAAAAATCACGGTTTCTTCTCTGGAGTGGATCTTTCATTCCACTCATTTCTGTGATCATGTTTCCAAAGCATTCCTGACTGTGACCCACATTGTTCCACTACATCCCCGTCAAATTCAATGGTCAAAGGAGGTTTCCCACTAGACCTGGCCAAATGGGTCCTAAAGTGGTCCTAAAGCTAGTAGCACTCATGGGCTATGAGCGGAATGGAATGGAATGACCCCTGATCCGACAAGGTTGCCATCCCCCAGCCGGCCCAGCCCAACAAGCTTCTGTCCAGGCACCCATGTAGAACAAATGCCGAGACTCATCCCTCCAGCGGGCTTGGAATGATCTCATCAGCATCAAGTCAGCCTTGGATTCAAGCAGGCAGCGGGCCAAGTCAAAAGAAAGCAGTTATTATATATAACCAATTGGTGGGCTTGGCATTTGGCAGCCTTGGCAACAAGTTCAATGAGAAATCCAACAAGCTCGACAAGTTCAACTCTCATTTGTTGATTCCAAACATGCGTTGCAAACAGCTTTGGTCTCAAGATGAACCCGAACTGAACTACGGAAACACATGATGCTGACAGAACAGCCCCCGAAATTGAAGCTCAAGTGACCAGAAATCTGCTTCGAGAAAGTGTGCTGGGTGAAGGCACGGATCGTGGGCCATCCAAAGCTTCCTTCACTTCCTGCGCAACCTGCGTGATGCAGAAATCATTGGGTTTGTACATCGGCACGTTTTTGGCTGATGATGATGATGATGCAGCACGATGTGGGTCATACGGGGTTCTTTGTGAAATGGTACTGTTATTGCCAAAAGCACCGGAGTCACAGCGACGAACATGATTTGAAGGCACTGTCCCCCTAAAATGCAGAGATTTATGGGTTTCTCCCACTCCCAGATCCTGCCTTCGGCCCCAAAGCAAAAGCCACAGCAAACACCACAGACCTTGCGAAGTCAGCAGCGCATCGCAAGTAATGTGCATAGAGCACCGCCTGAAGGAGCCTTGCAACCGAATACCTCCAGCCACCTTGCTTTCGACTCACAGTATCCGCTTCACGACATGTAGCAGCCTCCTGATGGAGCGCGTGTTGTGTTGCAACACTCAACTCAACACGCACTCCATCAGTATCTTCTCCGCTGGATATCAAGTCCACATCGTCTCCATTTCCAGGGCCACGGAGGCGGACACTGCCGCCACGCCGCATGGGCGCAACATGGGTACAGGCAAGTTACAAAGTTGTTTCTTGTCTCGTTTCCATTCACATTCGGCTAAACATGGTTAAGTACTTGAAGTGATGGTTTAATTCTTGAAGCCATGGCTTCAAAGTTAATAACCAGTCGTGGGGGTCTCACTCCGGGCATACCAGCATGCCTTGACGTAAAAAAACATCTCTGGAGCAGCTGGCGCAGTCAAACCCCAACGACACCAGAAGGCTTGATGAAACAAGGTGGCCAAATGCAAAGTCAAACGTCGGTCGATTGGGAGGCTTCACCTTGTTGGGAGGTTGAACATGCTGAGTCGTCCAACAGGTGTGTCCCTGGTTCCTGAACCATCACTGGCCATCAGCCATTTGGCTGCTCCCGCAAAGGATTCCTTAGGGTATATTACCAATCATTAACTAGTAGTAAGATTATTGAGGCGGTCTGACAGGTGTAGGAATGTATAAACGTTATAAAAACCTTATGGACCCACTCCCCCAAACCTCGCGAAATTTAACATCCTGGCCGTACTACCCTTTCGACTATAGTATATTTATTGATGACCTTGGACTCAGAGTGATTCGAGCATTCGGTCCGAGTCACGTAGACGTTCTACCGGTGCCCAACGGTGGTTCTAAGCCTCAGGCAGGCTCCATGACCGTGCAGAGTATGCGGAGAAGACCTCTGAACACTGGCAGCATCAGTTTGAAGAAGGCTACCGTGCCTTGGAAAAAGTCCCAAACTGGCGCACCCATTCGCCATGGGTTTCAGGCGTGCACCCCCAAAAAGATGTCAAACACGTGCCTTTGACTCAAGAGCTGAGGTCGCAATTTGAAGCTCCAGGAGGGTGCCACGAAGTCCACGCTGGGTTGCGGAACCAAGACAGATGGCTGGGTGGTGGAACACTAGAAGAGGATTTGAATCCTCTGTGTTAAAAGTAAGAATTACAACCGACCAGTCGTGGGTCCAATGGACCTATGTTGACCTGCCAGATGTTCTTGGGGTCAATCGGAATCGATGGCTATTCAGTGTAGCCCAGGGCGTTTTGGGGTCCGAAAGCATCGCCGTCCGCTTCAGCCAGCCCGGTGCCGTCCGCTGCTCTCCTCAAAAACCGAGACTTCGGTTTTGTTCCACCGGGTGGCAGCTCCGGCCTTTTGAAAAGGCTCAGGATTCCGAAAAAAATCGCCGATATTATAACAGAACTCTTGACTGTGAACAGAGGTTTTTCAAGGGCGGGTTTGTTAATCGTCCACATGACCCAATGGAGGAAAAGAGGCATGTCCAGCAAGTTCCTCGTGTACGAAGCATACTTGACCAACGGTTCTCATGATCCATAACGGCTTCAAACCACCTGTTCCAGAATGAGTTCGTCGGCCCCGTCTCATTTGATCCGCTCCTCTGAGGCTACGAGGTGCAAGTGGAAGACTTGCAGAGAGCACTGGCGGCGAAGGGTGTGGAGGTCGAGCGGCAGCAGCTGGAGATCCAAAGGCTTCAAGAAGCCTTCCAGGCGGCGAAAATGGACTGTAGATGGGGTTGGTCATGGATGGGAGGATGGGAAGGTTTTCTGGAGCATTTGGCAATTATGGCTTTCGCTTCAGCACAAAAAAGCTGGACGCAAAGGCACACATAGGCGAAGGGAGAGTATGACGGGGTGCTCTCTCAGAGAGACCCACAAGTACGCACAGAATTAAAACAGATTATTATATAAACCTAGTTTTGAAAGACGGACCCTCAGCATCCTCAGCAGTTCCGAAGGGATGCCTTTTAGAGGATAGGGGTGCCCATGATCCACTCACTTAGAGACTAAAATCAATTCGTCTGGAACTGCTGGCCCTCATGTTCAATAAACCTGCACTAACATCCACTAAGAGTCGACTGCTTTTGAGTCTTGCCGCACCGCTGCCGCCCAAGCAAGTGGTCATGGATGTGACATCCTCATGGGCCATCACAGGCCCCCTGGAAGACCTTTTTTGATTTTTAAGTTTGTGTTTGAGAGTGTGACGGTTTAATCTACAGAAAGGCCTGTTGTGGGCGGCAGACCATTGAGACGCTTGGGACATATAGTGTGGCGGTTTAATCTATGGCCGTTGAATAATCTTTGCTGGCGGGGCAAAGCCATACAGAAAGTAGCCTCGCATTTCTGTGACGTTCGAACATCGCCAGTCACCTACTGTAAGGCCACCGCTGATATGCAACTTTGGCACCGGCACGGGCATCAGCTTCAGTTGAGGTGTGGGAAGCCAGCCGGGGCTGAGAAGATACCGCACAGGGCAGAGCTGAAAAAGACTATGACCATATTGTTGACCATGAATTGGTGTGTTCCAACTCATGTCGTATAGTTATTGTTTTGTGTTTTCTGCTGGCATCAATCTCGGACTCCCCACACTGTTGCCCCAGATGGCGAGGCCAAGCTGGGACGTCCCATTGAAGAACCATGTTCAAACAGCTGGGAGCTGGGAATCTTGCTTTAGGAACTTATGCCAAAACAGAACCACACCACACCAGGTTTGTTTTGAACTCTTCACCAGCGCCCCCGGTTTGGCGTTTGGGGTGGACACCCCGAAACACCTGTATTGCGGCTATTAGTGCACACCCCATGGCCCCCCGCGGTCCCGGGGTGGTATAGCTACCTTGGCTTTGTGTACCTCAGCTTCCACCCGTCTCCCGGTCCTCCGCTCTCTCCGAGCATCGCCCCGGCATCCAGGCAGCTCATGGGCACCACCAGTGCTCAGCTGGCGCGCTGCGGCGAGCTCGAGCGGCTCCTGGCCCTGGAGCGCTCCGAGCACCAGCGGCTCAAGGCACAGGTCGCTGAGGCGCAGAGCGCTCCGCGCGCGGCGGGTCCGGAGTCCGCCAGAACCACTGGGGGGACGGAGGCCCTGACTGATATGCCCCAGGGGTTCGTGGGGAGTTCCGGGGAGCTGGCGTGAGTTGCCGGAGGTTCATGTCGTTCAATAGTGGGCTCCAGTCGTACCTCCGAAGGTATTAAGACCCTGGCACCCACTCCAGTCCCACCTTATCGGAGGTGCAACTGGAGCCCGGTATACATGAAGGTGCAGTTTCACCTTCTCAACCCATCGCCCAATCGCCGTTGCCAGGCGCAGGTCACCGCTGCCGCGGCGGAGGCAGAGCAGCAGAGCGCGCTGAAGAGTGCCGCCGATGCGGAGCGCGGTCGGGAGTCGCCCAGTGGGTGGATACGCCGGTAAGTATACACCTTTAGAACCCAGACCCTTCAAAAGAGAATGGGTGTCCACTAAGGCATCGGGTTTTCTCCACACGTTGCTTTTTTTTAGGTTTGGATACACACGTTGATTTTTAGGTTCATAGTTGAGAAGGAACCTCCAAAAGTTTAGGCTAAGCAGGTTCTTAGTTCAGTTGGATTACTTTGGCAATCATTGACGGCCCAATCAAATTGCCGAGTTGACTCATCCCTAGGCTTCCAACCACCATTGTTTTACTATAGGTGGTTTCTACAGAACGAAAGCAGCTCAACCAGCTTTGAAATAGTGGACTTCCATAGTGGAGAACTCGGAGCGTCGAGTGACTACAGTGACCGGTCCTGCTCGGTGACCAGTCGCTCCCGTCACATGCCTTTCGCAGGAGCGCTATGCTCGGGATGCACGGGCCAACGTTCAGCAGAAGGCGCGCCGAACGTGGCGGAAGGTCGACGTGGCGGGGAAGTCTTGCAAGTCAAGTAACATAAAACATCACCCAGTTCGGATAGGTATTGGATGGCAAGCACATGGCCAGGGTGTCCAGAAACCATCCTTTCAGTGTTGCTTGATGTTTTTGAAGCGCCGATCAAGTACGGTGGTATAGTGCAGGCCCGAATCATGTGGTCTTTCGAAGCTGCCAGCGCTCCATGGCTACGAGGCTTAGCTCGCTACACTATGTTACACCTGAAAAATTAAAAAGACCATGGCTACGAGCCTGGCGGAGCAAAAAGCACCTGAACATGGATCTTCGGATTCAATTACATGCGAAAGCCGAACGGGCCATGCCATCTCCAGGACGTGAACCGTCAGACGTTGACCGAGTTGGATCGCTGTTTGGCCGTGCTGTTTGGCGTCCGTTTCAGATCACACTGGCCCACAGTCGGACCAATCAGATGGTTGCTGTTTGGCTAAAGGTACTTCAAGCAGAGAACGGAAGGCAAAGTTAGAATGAGTATCAGCACAACTGAGATATATATATATATTGTTTTTTTCTTCGCTCCTTTTCTGTTCATGCTTCTTCGATGGCCTTTTTGGCCTGGAACACCAGTGGGAGCTGTTGGCCTTCAGCCTGTCCTCCACACCTGCCCTGCAAAGATTTGCTAGCCTGCCATGATTGTTCCTTCATGGTGGCCTGGGCCTTGCATCTAAGGCATTTGAGCGTGTTGGCTCGCCGCCACATGCTGTGTGAGCTGTGCCCATGCCATCCTTTCCCTGGTTCCCATGCTTCATTGATGCACCTCGTCTTGCTCAAAGCCTGAAGTTTCTGTTTTGCAGCATTCCTCAAAGCCCTGGTGCCACAGCTCTGACAAACAAGGTAGCTGCCTCGGAGTTGAAAATTGTGCTCTCCGTGTTCTCCTGAAGTATCATCGAGGATCTTCTGGATGAACTGGCTCTTGGTCTCTTCCTCTTGGTTGCTGGGTGGCTGTCCTCCTTTGGTGCTACCTGGGTTTCCTGGGCATCTCTCTTGGGCTGCCGTTCTCAAGTCATCAAGCTTGGCATGGAGGGTCAACCTTTTGAGACAATGAAGGCATTGTTTGGCCCTTCCTTTGAGAAGCCAAGTGTGGGCACCATCCTGTGAAGTCGCAACCAGCTCAGCAAAGGCCTGCTTCTTGCTGTCTTGCTTCTGCATTCTCAACGTTTTGCCAGTTTCTCTGGCCTGGTGCATGAAGTGGTCCTTGTTGTCCAAGATGTGTTGCACCCGCTTGATGGCAAGTGGTGCAATGCGCTTGTACTTCTCATCTTGCTGCTTCAGAAGGGCCTCCTCCTCATGTGGCCTCAAGGACAGCGCAACCTCAGTGGCGGCCTTCGTGGCATCGTGGAACCTGTTCTTCAAGGTCATGTGCCCAGTTGGCATTTGCCTGATTTGCAGCATGGTGATGCTGAGGGCCTTGACTTGCTTCCTTTGCTCTGGCGTGACCAAGCTGCCCAGGTCGTGGAAGATGTGGCCATGCTTCCCTTGCACCCATGCTTCCCAGGCTTTGGCGGAGAGGACACGAAACTTCACTTGGGTGCTCAAGTTGATGTAGTGAGCGGCCATCCTCAAACCATAGTACCAGGCTCTCTCCAAGGACTGATGTCCTGGTAACACCGTTGCCACCACTCCAAGGCGGTAAAGCTCTTGTCCCAAGCCAGCATGCTGAACCAGAGCCACCACATAGTGCCGCAAGCGTGGATCTTTGCTCGTGGCCGCAATCCCTATCGTGAAGACCGAGGTGTTGCTCACCTTCATCTCGTCCTGCAGGGTCCAGCTGCCCCATGCCTGCACTGCCGCACCTCCTGTGGCCAACTCATACTTGGGCAAGGTGAGCAGCCCTTGCGTCCAGAATTCAAGGTGCACCCCATGTTCGAGCTCGAACTGATCCTCTGCGTCCAGAGGTGGGAATGCCTTATTCGTCTCCTTGCAGAGCCACATCAGATGGAGCATAGTGGCCTTTTGCCCACAGTGGGGGCACATCAATTGCTTGTCCCCTTCAGTGTCAGCCACCTTGGTGAACAGAGCCCCTTGGTGCCAAGTGGCCAAGGATGTGCTGTTCCTGGAATTGAGACTCTTGTTCATGAGCCTCCATGGCCGCCAGTCGAGGGTGTTCTGAACGTCCTCCAGGTGTTGTCTCTTGTTGATCTTCTCAATGCGTTCCCAGCGCTCAGCTCTTTTGAGCTCTTCACGAAGAGTGAACCAGTCATCTGTCATGTCAAGGCGGAAATCACGCTGTCCATTGACCAGGTTTGGTCCAGACCCCATACTGAGTGCAGTCCCAGTTCCTTTCCATGAGGTAGCATTGTAGTGCAGCAACAGGACCTTTGGCCACTTGCCACGGGTATTGAGCCTGGCTGAGCTTGTCCTTGATGGCTTGCCACGCTCGGTCCAGGCACTTGTGAGTGGCTTCCGGCCAATTGCCATAGAACCTCCGGTAGGTGCGGACTTGGGCCATGAAGGAGCCATAGTCTGGGTCTTGGTGTCTGCCTTGCATGTCGTACAGGATGTCAATGTTGCCTGTACGTTGCAGGCCAAGCTGCCTTCCCATTGTGTTCTTGAGTTTTCTCCTTACTTGAGGAGCTAAGCCCATGGCCTCGTGCCCCCAAGCAATGCCAGCAACAATGCTGCCCTTGTACAATTTGAGTCGAATGCTTCTTTGTGGTATCTTGAGTGTGGCCAACTTTTTGGTCTTCCTGGCAGCCTTGCCACGCCTGTTGCGCATGGTTTGTATCCGCCTGAGGCGGCCCGCCGTGCAGTCCACCCCCAAGTCCCTCATCACATCATGGACCCTAGGGCCACTGGCCGGCAGCTGTTGTTGTAGAAGTCTTTTGGCGGTGCTGTTGGAGGCGATGAATCCTGTCTTCTTTTCGGAAATCTTGAGGTTGTCTTCTTCAAGTAGTTGCTTGATGTGTTCATAGGATGGCAATCCTGACAGCATTTGCCGGATCCCTGTCCACCACATCGAAGGACAGGTCATCAATCCACAGGTCCGTGTGGAGCTGCGGGTACTTCTTGTGGAAGGCTTTCATAGCATTGTACAGGTAGACTTTGGCCGCTAGAGGAGCTTGTGGATCACCTGCAAGGATGCCATTCTCCGTCCAAAGCTGCTGCGAAGCCTCACCTTCTGCTTCCAGTATGCGGCCGCCCAGATACAGCTGCATGGCAAAAGCTGCATGAGTTGGTGGATAGTTGGAATCCAACCACCTGTTGCAGAGAGCCTCCAGCTTGATGCGGTCATAGAAATTGGACATGTCCAAAAGCACCGACACCACCGTCCGTTTCATAGAGTTGTGGTGTTCGGTAAGGAAGGCACGGCGCAGGGCCACTTGCAGACACTCGGTTCCTGGGGTTGCTCTCTCCCAGGGGTAGTCCTCTGCCAGGGTGGATTGCCACTGTTTGGTGAAGGAGCTACGGAGGCGGCACCAAAGTCTGTAGAGTGTAGCAACCAGGGCTATGGGCCTTTCGATGTCAGCTGATTTAGGCAGCAAGGCGATCAAAGAAGTGGTCCATTGCTGGGGAATCACAGCCTGTAGTGGATGATGAAAACATGATCCTGGTGGAGGACCCTCCTACATCAGGACAGTCGACTCTGGACTACGTCCTACAGAACCTCCAATGCCGCACAGGCAACTACCGGAATAGGTGTTTTGCAAATGCACCTTTCTGGTTGTGGTCTTGGGCGGGAAGCTTTCTAGGTGGACCTCAGCTTTGGAACCAAACGGGGGCTGCAGTCATTGCGGCTCTCAAAGATGATGGAATTGTGAACATCACCAGATTGCCTACGTTGAGGCAGCTCTGGCAGACCTTTGACGATCAAGTACAAGATGATGCCTCACATTTCCTCATGGATTTGGCCCGACTTGCCAATTCTGAGAAGGTGCCACAACTGAGATATATGTATATTATATTATATATATATATATGCATGAAGGGAAATGATATGAAGTGGTTGATTTTTGTGTTTGTGTCTTTTTCGGGCTGCCAGCGACCGTCAGGTGGATGAAGCCTTAGTGGCCGTGAGGAAGCAGATGAAAGATGAGCTGGAGATACAGAGGACGGACCAACTTTTGGGTTTACTGCGACTTGGGAGGCGGCGGCACAAGGAGGCACACAGAATGCCGGAGATTCCGGGGCACTGAAACCTGAGGCCAGTATATACTTGGATCCAGAGCGCTGGCTTTTGAGGTGTGGGGGGTTCGCCCATGATGTAAGTCAGGAGCATCAGGCAGGAAGAAAAAGAGCCCCGCCAGCACGGAAGATGCTCCTTTGCCGGATAGATGGATATGGTAGTTTGGCGGAACAATGACTAAGATTGAGATCTGACAAGTCTGGTGACGGCTTTATGAACACTTGAAATAAATATGTACGCCATGATACATTTCCACGTGGTTGTTTTCATTTAAGAAAGATCATGTTCGTAGAGAGTTTACCAACTTGTAGGATCTCAAGACAAACAGATACAAACATGTGGCTGTGGGGCATGGCACCAGGGTACCTTGCTTGACCCTACCTGGAAGGGCAAGCTGCCGACTGGGACTCCGGGTTTAGACCCATCCCCATATACAAACCATTTTGACCACCTCCGCAGGAAAGCTTGGCAGCACGAGCTGGCCAATGCACTGCCCTTGAAACTGGCCCGCGAGGCCCATCCCGAGAAGGTGTTGAACTGGGGGACCGTTGACCACGCGCTTTGGGTGGACGTTGTGGTCTTCGTTGGTTTGTTTTCACTCAAGCTTCTCAACCAAGTCCCCCCGCCGGTGTCTCCTTACGCCATTTTCTTGCATCGCCATGTTGCCTTCAGCTTGACCTGGGCTCAAGTGGAATTTTTGGGCTTCTGAACCGGAAGGATGGAGATTGTTGCTGTGTCTGGCAACACGGTTGCTCAGGTTGATGTGAATGAGCTGCGTTGCATGGTGGAAAGCGGGAAAACTGGTCTGGACTTAAAGCGACTTCTTTCAGCTCGGGTTGGGTGCTCGAGGTTTCAGCAAAGACTCTTCATAGACCAGGTTGGAGAATTGAAGGATGACATGCCGTTAACACCAATGCCAAATGTACAACTGGTAATTCTGCCCTTGTGTATTCCTGATGAGACCACACGAAGAGAACTACTTCAGAGCTGCCAGGAGAATCGTGTTGCACATCTCGAACAACTGCTGCAAAAACCGCACGATCCGAATGGGATACGTCTACTTGCACATGGGAAAACGGCTCTGTTCATGGCGGCCCAGTTTGGCCACTTGGAAATCGTGCGATTGCTGCTTGAGGCTGGAGCTGACAAAGATGCAGTAATGACAGATGGGGCAACCGCTGTGTTCATTGCAGCCGAGAACAGCCACTTGGAAGTCGTGCGCTTGCTGCTTGAGGCTGGAGCTGACAAAGATGCAAGGAGAAATGGGCTTACGGCTTTGCTCATGGTATCCTATAAAGGCCACTTGGAAGCCGTGCGATTGCTGCTTGAAGCTGGAGCTGACAAAGATGCAGCAATGACAAATGGGCTTACGGCTTTGCTCATAGCATCCCATAAAGGCCACTTGGAAGTCGTGCGATTGTTGCTCAAGGCTGGAGCTGACAAAGATGCTGCAAAGACGGATGGGGTAACAGCTTTGCACAAGGCAGCCCAGAACGGCCACTTGGAAGTCGTGCAATTGTTGCTCGAGGCTGGAGCTGACAAAGATGCAGCAGATGCAAATGGGGCAACAGCTTTGTACATTGCAGCCCATATCGGCCACTTGGAAGCCGTGCGATTGCTGCTTGAGGCTGGAGCTGACAAAGATGCAGCAAGGACGGATGGGGTAACAGCTTTGTTCATTGCGGCCCAGAACGGCCACTTGGAAGTCGTGCGATTGTTGCTTGAGGCTGGAGCTGACAAAAATGCCGCAAGGACTGATGGGGCAACTGCCTTGCGCGTTGCAGCCCAGGCCGACTTGGAAATCGTTCGATTGCTGCGTGAGGCTGGAGATGACAGAAGAAGATATATGTGATTGCTTGAGCTGGCAAAGGTGCAGCAAGGGCAAATCAAATGGGACAACGGCTGCCCAGTTTGACCACATGGAAGTTGTGCGATTACTTGCAAAAGGATACGCAGTGTTGCTTCACTCAATGAGTTTATACTGATGTGTGTTTGGGGTAGATGGTGCACTGCTTTTAAGGGCTACTTCAGAGCATCTCGCATCTCAGTCTGCTCTTGGGCCTGCACATGCCCACCGTGGCATTCGTCAGAGGAGTTGGCATGTAACCTGCATAGGTAAATTCCAGACAAATCCTCCTGAAATCATCCTCCAGAAGAATCACTTTCCAATCCTCTATGGAAGGTCCTAGAGTCATACATGCAAGGTTTACGTACGGCATCGAGCAAATCGACGAGGTGCTCAGTGCCTATGCTGAGTTGTGGCGCTGCGGCTGCGCGGTCACTGTGGGCACTCATGCGCTGCGCGCCGAGCGGGCACTAAGGCAGGAGGAAGAGATGCGAAGTCCACCCAGACGCGACCCGAACTCGGCCCCGAACCTATGGATGGGGTCGGACCCAAATCCTCTGGAGGGGTCAGGGGTTGAACCAATGCGCATAGGTTTTGAGGGACCGAGAATAGGGCTGTGAACGGAGCGTTGGGGCAAAAGGGAATGTGTTTGCACCGCAAATGTTTGGAGGATCGAATCTTTAGGATGTTGATGTCGTATTTCTGGAGGAGTTTTGTGTGCTGTTTCATTTAGTTTCGGACGATGTTTCTCTGCCAGATCTGTTCTCGTGGGCTTAAAGCCCAGCCCGCGAATTGCTGAATCCAGACTGCTTGGGGAGTCTGGGGGGAGAAAGAAGATATTGATATATAGAGCAAACCAAGACATTGCTTGGAAGGTTGATGGGCACAACAGAGGTTAAGTGACCCGACAAGGACCTGTAACCTGGGGTACATATGGGATAGTCTATAGGCTTCTCCAACCTCTGTTCGTATTTGAATGATATTTTAAGGTAAGTTTTAAGGTATCATGTCCGCAAAAAACTCTCACGTCCTGCCACCGGTGCCATCTTCCCGCTTTGGCCTCTTCCTGCCACGGAAGAGGCGACTCTTCGACTTGGACGTTTTCACCACCGTCATACCACCCCGGGACGAACTGCTGCAGGCGACGGACGTGGCGTGGCCGTCGTGTTGGGCGATTTTCTTCGTGCGGGAAGAGCCACGGGATGAAATGGGGGGGCCAACCCCTCTCCATAAAACGATTTTAATGTATGGGTTTGCTAAGACCCCCACCCTGGTAATTACTTGCATGGGGGGAACCGAAGAAAGAGCGTTCGTCTCCGTTCTTCCGTTCCGTGGGAGACTCGGTCGAAAACAGAAAACTCATTGGCCGGGATGTGGGCCTGTGTGTGTGTGCTTGGGATGATGGGTGGGGGGTGGGCTTTTGGTTTTCAGGTTGTTTGGGGAAAACATGGGTGAATTCACCAGAAGTGACCAGAAGCCTTCAAACACCACAGGACGAGACGGGCCGAGAGGGGCAGACGGGCCTCGAAAAGAGAGAAAAGGTCCGTAGACGAGGGCTGACATGGGCTGACTCCGGGGATGAAACTTCCTAGAGACTACAGGACATAAACATGTTCCTCACAACTTGACAACTGACATAGAAAATCCTCTCACAACTTACCTTCTAAAGAAAACCACAAAGGAAGAGCTCCTGGAATCCTTCGCCAGGAGCCCTTGCGCCGGGCCATGGGGCATGAGGCCGCCAAGCACATGGGCGAGGCGACGACGGTGGCGGTGACGACGGTGGGACCAAAACATCTCGCCTAGAGGTCAGTTGGACCATCTCTACCTCCCCCACGTTGGACCTAAGGCGGGGGGTAGTGATGTGGGACCTATCACTACCTCATGTTGGCTGGAGTTGATCATACAAAAACACTGCTTCTTTGGGAGGTTTCAGGACCAGGTTTTACTTGGTCCTTGGATGTCCTTGGACTGGCAGGGATCTAAAACCCTGGACTCAGTTTTGCTTGAATGAGGTTGTATGTGCCCCAGCACCACTGCAGTGAAATCTCAACTCTGGAATATGTTTGAAGTTGGGGTGTCCCAGGATTCATTCTGGAGTGAGGTTGAATGAAGATGGGCGTGTTTGCTATGTTTGTTGAAGGAAGCCCCCGGCAAAATGGCATGGATCCACAACTCGTGTTTTCAGTCTCTTAGTCATTTGGCGTTGGAGCACAAGTATGAAATGCTGGCTTTTTCCAGGTAAATGAGGTGGTTGATCGACTTTGGGGGCACCCTGCTATGCCTTTGGATGCGGCTTCATCCACAAAAAACGGGTCCCACTTGTTCATCCGCAGCCAGACATTGGTGGCTGAGCTGGAGCATTGCCATGCGAGCGGGCAGCGTGGCAGAAGTGGCAGGGAGTCAAGATGAGTCTTTATATGGGTGTGTAGCTCAAATAGGGAGACCTCCCAGGCAACATTGGCCTGGGAACACCCAGCCAGGGCCAGGAGGATCTCCCTATCAAAACACACCCATATAGACGGGTCCAGAGACTTGATGCCTCTATGTAAAGAGTTAAGGCTCTCCCCACCTCTATGGCAAAGCTGTAAGTCCGGAGCCTGGCCAGGGTTCTCATCATGTGATTGGCCTGGGACTTGTGCAGGAAAGTGTTCTTTGGGTGGACCTTAGAATTGATTTCTGCAAATCAGACGCCAAGCCCTGCCCGCTGCTTTCTGCAGCGGCACAAGTGATCATGGTGGTTCCATGGTCACGCAGGCTGCATGCCTTTTTCCCACTGAGGCCATCCAGCACGAGTGATCATGATGGCTGGGCCGTGAGGCTGGGGGACAGGAAAGTTCGCCACCAGTGGTTGCGTGTGGCGTGAGGTTTAGGTAGCTGCTCCAAAGTAGCGCAGAAGGTTCTCCCTGTGTTATTTTATGTTCATTCATGGCTGCGGCTGCTGTTGTTTTCCGGAACTTGTGAAGGATGAGTATGTTGTATGTTGTTGATCCGGCTGTGTGGACTCTCTGCTAAACAAGGCATGCCTTAGCCTAGCAGCGCCTGCCTTGAGGCCCTGGCGGGTTGAAGCCATGGTGGCAGCGCACCGGTGAAAGCCTTGAGGAGCTGCGAAGCTGCAAGATCTTTATCAGAGTAAAGACAACTTTCAGAGGTCCAATGGAGATCTCTCAGTCGTGTGTGGGCTTCCAGCCAGGTGCGGACAGTGCTGGAAGGTGGATTGTTTGTCAGTTCTTTTGGACATCAAGGCGCTCAATGTCGATGTGTTTGCGCTTCAAACCTGCCCAGTGATACCCATACAGCGATGGTTTCTGCAGGATGACCGGACTGGCGGTTGTAGACCGGACGAGTTTCTTTGGTTGTGATGACCGGACCGCACGATCTAGGGACGTTTGCAGTGTATACTTACTTCTCACGAGTCGCACGAGTCTCCGCGTGCAGCACGGAGGAGCAACTGCAACCTGGAGACGGGGATGAGGAGAACCGTGACGACCTTCTCAGAGCCATGACGAGGAGACTGGCCGGCAGAGATTAGGTCGCCTTCCAACAGCTAGCTGAAATCTGTAAAACCTAAACACGTGATCAGCTTAACGGGGCGCCCCACGGTGTAACCTCAACAGATGACCATTTGACTATAGATTGAACCTCTAAACCTCAGGGCGGACACCGGGTGTTGGGTCATGTTGAATCATGTTCCTTCATTCAACAAATGTTCCATTGATTTTTTGGTCCGCAAGGGCTTTGGGGGTTTGGTTCGGACAGTTGTTCTTTCTCATTCTTTCTCCAAGAGCTCGGGCCCGTCGCAATGGGTCGATAGCGTGTTTTCTTAATAAACCCACCCCATCTGGATTGAAAAGCCTCTTCGGGCTTGGGGGCGTTATTATCAATCAAGAGTCTACATGAAGATAGGTTTTCTTTTCCAATTGCTTGCGATTACAGGTGGTTTGTTGGTGTCCTGAACTGGTATTGTTTGCAATTCGAGGTGGATTGATCCTAGCGTCTCATGTCGAGTCCAGCCATTGTTTTGAGGAAATGTCCAAGTCATAGAAGTACGAAAGCCCCATTGTGGATCCTTTTTTGGAAAACAAACATCAAAAACTTCAGCACATGATGCACATGGAAAATCACGATGGGGAGCTTTGCCAGCTTTTTCATGTTTTTCTTTCCCCGGCAGGGATGGTCTTGCCGGCCACGAGCCAGAGACGACATCTTTCAAAACATGTCGCCATGTCTTTTGCGGATTTGCGGAAGATCAACTGTCCAAGTGACCAAAAGCGGATAGTTACTTCTGTTCGACTGGTTTACATGATCCTGCTGAAAGAGCTAAAGCCGGTGTGACTAGCCTAGAACTCCGCACCTTTTACAAAGGCCACTAAGTTTATTGACTATCCTCCGCTGTGCTGTTCAGCCTCTTTTGGTGATACTTGTATTGCTACGTGGTGCTAGGCTTCCCCTATCGTTTGTAGGCTAATATAGCTCATAACTTGACTCATAACAGTAACATCTCATAAGTGTTAACTTGCACCACAGCTGCTCCGTGATGGATCTATCTAAGTATCTATCTAAGATATCTAAGTGACATTTATCAAACCAATATGTATGTATGTACCTGTCCCAGTGCCAGTTCATGGACACCCCTAAACCTCTTTTCGGGAGCTATTGCACAGACACCCCCAACCAGGGCTCTGTAGTTCCGTCGATCCGTCGATCCTTCGTGCGCCAGGATCCCACCCACTCGGACCGACGGACCGGCTGCGACGCGAAGACCGTGGCCGCATGCGACGCGAAGCCGAAAACCTCCGGCAGCGCGTTGCGTTGCTCCGGGGACGGTACCGCGGAGCGTGGGGTGGACCGTCTGTAGTTCCGTCGGCGGAACGCCCGTATTGCACATGGGGTTTGAGTTGGGCGTCACCGGGGTTTCTGACATGTTGAGTGTCGAAAGTTCCCCACATGCATCTTCGACGAACATGGGCGAACATTCCCCTTCTTCTTCTGCAAGTCTGTCCTCCTGCAGATATGCCGACGTTTGGAGTTGTTTTGTTTAAAATGTGCTTTCCAGTCTGTCGATCATGTCAAGTTTCGGCAGAGGGTGGAGATTGGTCCGCCTTTTTGCGGCTCACGATTCAACAAGCATTTGGATGAACAAGTTACAATACCCAGACACTCCATGTATGGCATATTTACATATCATTGGGGTGGTTTCAGGGGTCAATGGAGGCATATATACCGATATACCATACATGGAGTGACTGGGATAGTAATTCCCCATCTTGGATGAACAACTCTGAGTCAGCGGAGTTCGCCAAGTTCACATCCATCAACAGTCGGGTTGCTGAGCCGGGTCGGTCGATGTGGCGATGCGGGGAGGGGAGCGCACCCCACCGCTCGCGCAGAGGCAGGGTCGGGTGACTTTAAAACGCCAGATCGTGAACGCGGACCCAGATTGCGTGGAAGCCCAGACGTGGGGACCTGAGGGCTCTCTACAGAGGCGCTTGGCGCGCCGTCGCCTGGTGTCCTTGTAAGGGGGTGCCCAATGGACAGGAGTCCGATGCAGCTAGTGGGTGAAATCAGGGGGGGGCGGATATTTGCCTTCAAATTCCAGCTCATCGTACTCGTACATGGTGTGTGTGTACATCACCCAAGGCCTTTGGAGCCACATTGACATGGTTGCAATGCCCCGCTTCCAAATCGAGCATGCCATCCATTTCGACCAACCCGACCGTGGTTTTAGGGGTCTAATTATATATTAGTCCAGGTCAATCTGTAGGAGGGGAACCGAAAAGAAGACGATGGGTTCCCATCGTGAAACTCCAAGATCCTAAAGAGGAGGGATGGGGGTGGTGGACCCCGCTCCAAATCAACAGCCCTGATCGGTTCGATCGGTTCCTGAACACCTCGTAACAGTCAGTCTGGACAAAAGGTTGAAGCCACCCTGTTTTCAGGACCCCGGGTCCTGAAAAAGAAATTCATTTATCGAGAGAAGTTTTGAAATTCACCGAGGATGCACAGGTGAGTTTTTCCATGGAAAAAATATCAATAAATACACCGTGTCCTATTGTACTTGCAGATTACAAGAAACCATGATATCCACTGCTTAAACAGCAAGACAACCCAAACTATAAGTGGCCTTGATCTTGGGTCGCGTTGCTTTATGATCGCATTCTTCATCAGAGTACACGGGCTTGGGCATAAGAAGGGCGTCTTTTGATGCAGGTTTCGTTGTTTTCAAGTATGGCCCAAAGCTAAGCAAGGGCCATTTGCAGCTGTGAGCAGTCTCTAGCAACTGGGTGGTGCCATTGAATGCGTTTCCTTTTAGCACGATTGCAGCATTGTGCAGTCATACCACTGCTGTTTGACGTGCCTCCATGTTTGTTCATAAGATTCAAAAAAAACAGAACATGTGCATGGTAACCGGGTTAATCTTGATTGTAGCATTATATAATCATACAACTATTGCTCTACGTTTCTCTATATTTTCTTTCCACCGTACTTTCATGTGTGCGAGCATTGATGGTGCACAATGCGGAAGAGACATCCAGAGAAACTGGACGATGACCTCGAATCTCCTAGTCAGCCTGGTTCATTGTTGGAAGGTTCTGCAGAGAGTGTGGCACCGTCGCAGAACAGTTCAGGAACTGGGAACAAGAGACAAAGAAAAGAAGCAACAGTGCAGCTGTTGAAACGATTAGTAAGTTCAAAACATATGAAAGTTCAGGCCTTGCTCAAGCAAAAAAGAAACCTCCAACAAACAGTTCGGAGGCAAAAGGCGAGAATCCAGAGGTTGGAAGAACAGTTGGCTGAGAAAAAACAATCCCAGAAGGACGCACAGTCTCTGGAGGTGACACGTTTTTCTGATGTGCGGGGCTCGCAAGGGAAGCACGGCAGCTGGTTTACACCTGCTGGCGCCATCTCTCTGGCTGCTACTTGTCACCCATAGATTGCTTTACATGTATGTGTCTGTATTCCTGGTTGTGCACGCTTTCCTAAAAGACTGTAATGGTTTGAAGTCAAAGAACGTATGGGGTTGGATTCGAGTGAAACTCCGAGTTTGCATTGCAATGCTGATGGAAGCTCCAGGTTCGAAGAAATATGAGCAACATCAGCTGTGAAGACATGGGCAGGGTAATTCTGCAGGACATTAGTGCCCGATCAGTCGCCAGATGTGAATCGAAAGCGTCAGCAGCCCTTCAAGCCACAGCTCGGCTTCACTTTGAACAACTTCACCATCGACTGGTGAGCATGGATGAAACAGAGTGGGCAATTTCCGTGTACAGCTACAAGCAGGATGCTACAAACGACAAGAGGCGCAAAAGAAGCACCTTAGAACTCGATACAGGCTTTCTTTTTGGAAGATTCGATGAACCTGGGCATGCAACCTGGGAGTCGGATGCCGTGACACTGAAACGTCTCTCTGACGTGTTGCCAATCACTGATGAAACTGCTGCAGCCACTCTTGGATTTACCCTCAAAGCATTCTCTTCGCTGGGGTGTCCTTCATGGGATACAATCAAAACCTGGAATGAGATTCTTGGCAAAAAAGTCATGCACCAGTTTGTTTTCATGTGTTCATGGTTACAACAGCTGCGCGTGGGCCGTGGTCCTATGGGAGGTGTGTGAATGCAACTTCGCACATTTGTTTCACCTGGTGCCGGTGCCGCCTTTTCTGATGCTGAGGAAAACGTGTACGACTGCCAAGAATACTCTTCATGTATACTGCTGCACAACAGATGGCGGCTCAAATGAGCTCGCCTGCAGGAAGCTGGCAAACGTCCTGACCAGGGACACGGACAATGTTTTGTTCCTGGAGGCCACATGCATGGAACATTGCCACCACTTGGTGACAATGGGAAGCTTGCAGCTTATAGACACTCTGCTTTCTTGTTTTGCTGGGCGCTCTTGGAAATACTACAGCTCCCTAGCCATACTGACCAACGTGCTTCGTTCTGTGGCGCGGCAGGTTTTCCTCACTTGGTCAGAATTCTATGGAGCAGAAAGCGCTGCGAAAACAGTGAAAAAAATGTTTCCAAGATGTTGCTCAACAAGATGGGGCAGCATACACACCACGGAGGAAAGGGTCATGGCTGCTGGTTGTTCT